ATAGTCTAGTTCATTTACACGCAAAAGAATAAGTACATAGGATGGAGCACATAACACATCTTTATTCTTTCGTGCGTAAAGGAACTTTACCAACATACTCAGTTTTTAATAATTAGTCAACTAGCTTCTTCGTTGTGGTCATAAGACCAGACACTGCAACAATAATACTTTGAAAAATGTTTATTTTATAAAGGAGTAGCATGAGCGTCTGTGAATTGTTGTTATAATATGTATAAAAATCAAACGGAAATCGCAGTATTCCAATAAAACAATGTTATATTAAAATAATAAATAGGGTGTATCGTTACATTGCTGGTAGGTTACGAGATGTTTCGCATGTTAAATCGTTTCAAATCGAAGCTTTTGTATGTGAATATGGAATTTAATGGCGTTCTACGTGTAGAGTTGTATAATTATCCAATAATCAGCATGTGGCTAATAAATTCCTTTTCAGGGTAAATATAATCAATCAAAAACTTTTTTTTATTTAGAAAAATTGCAGGGTTTTGCAGAACCTGTCCTTAAAAGAGCATGTTCGAGTAAACACTAGAAGGCATTAAAAAAAAACAAAAAACTTTAATATGCGCGTGACTTTACGAGGACATTGTTTTCATTGCTCTTTTTGCTCACAAAACGTTAAAAAAAGTGTAGTTTTTTTTTTTGTAACATTGATAAAACATAGTAAACAACTGTTGCGTTTCATGAAGGCGTGGATGTTTCATGGACGCACGCAGAATGCAAATGAGTGGCTAGACAACTTGATCTGGTATGGGTGTCCAAAAACCACATTTGTTGGAGTGCCCACAGTGAAGGCTGCTGTCTAAAACGAAATTGTGTTCTACATCAACGGCAATGAAGCAAAGAAAAAAGTGCTCAAGGCCCTTGGTGTGACACCAGGCGTGTTCTGTGACGTGATTCTGCTGAACCAGATGGAACACATCCGAATCACAGAAGCAAACTTTCGGGCTTCTCCGGAGAGCCAGAAAAGAAGAAAATTGAAGGCGAGTGCCAGGACAGGCTTCACGCGGCAGTGCAAAGAGAATGACTCTGAAGACTATGCACCAGGCGCGTTTTAGGATTGTGGATAAGCAGCCAAACTTTCAATTGCGAGTTCTCGAAAATTGTTTTTGTACATGTAAGGAACATTTCCTCCAAAACTAGCGGAGCTCTCAGGGACATGTTTTTGTCAGTTACTACAACATGCTTACTTTATTTACTGAACCTCGTGAGTTGTAGTGCTCGCCGAATTTTTTTTTTTTATAATTCTGTTCATCTTTACGCTCATAAAAAATAGACCACATGTGTATAAAAATGTATTTAAACAAAAAAATATACATTAAATTTTTTTCTGAAGAAAGTTTACAGTTTGGTGAATATCTGGGAACGTTTTCGTGACTCTAGTTAAATTTGACAAGTCATAAATGTTCCTTAACCAATGTAAAAGTATCCTAACTATTTTTTTTTAATATTTGGCACATGCATTAGTGTTTCTAAAATGCAACTCGGTAAGCAGCAAGCAGAAACACAAAAGAAATACGGCGGAATTTTCGAAGTTGCTCGTACAAAGAGAAGCTGATATAACGTCACAAGTTGAGTCACGTGTCAACCTACCATCCCCCCCCCCCCCCCTTCCTAAAAACTTCTAGCTTAACCTGTTAGGCCAATTTTCAAGCTGCCATTCGTCCACTGCTAGAGCCTACTTGGTCGAAGTTCAGCTTGACTAGTGGCTCTGACGTCACATCGCTGCGGAGGTGCTCCTGCTGTCACGGCGTACGGGCAGACGATTCATTTCGTGCGGATCGGGTTTATGCGCAAGCGCAGTGCCAAGACCTCGTGTGGGCAAACGCTGCCTTATAAAGTTACACCAATAACTACCCCTAATCAATGCTTAGAAATAACCTCGCTTTACCCCAAAAAAATCTGCCCCAAATCTCGATTTTGAGATAACAAAATCACGACCACTGATCAGTATTGGGAAGTACTTTAAGTACATTGTACTTAAAGTACTACTTGAAGTAGGTTTAGGAAACTTCTACTTTACTTCAAGTATGTACATTCTCTGAGTATGTACTTGTACTTTACTTAAAGTATTTTTTTTTTGTACTTTCCGAAGAAAGTACAATTCCCGACTTCAAAGTACATTCCCCAAATTTCGTTTTGTTAAATTTGTATCACGAAATGATGCTTTGTCAACTCCGAAGAAATACTGGGAGGGATATTCTACTCTCACCAGAGGCGTGAGCAGACGACGCATCGCTCCGCTTGTTCGGGGGGTGGCTTTCCAGTAGCTTTCTGAACTCTCGCTACTTCTCGGTCGGTCAGCGAGGAGGTTTAAAATATTATGAGAGCCAAATTAATCATATTCTAGCACCTGAAAGAGTAGTGCGGAACAATTAAGCTTTTAGTCGAAGAAAAAGACAACAGAGGAGAACGTCACAATGTTTTGAGACATTTTCTTTTGTCTTTTCCTTCGACTTGAAAGTTAGTTGATTTTTTCGCACCCCAATCGCACCCCAGGTGTCACATTATGATTATTTATCACCAGCTCAATTTCGAACTCCCTGTTGTTGTTGTTGTTTTTTTGTTTTGTTTTTGTTTTTTTCATTAAAGACAGGACATTCCTCTATAGAAGAATTGCTTGTGGAAGCTACGGGGCTGACGTCATGACTCCCTTGGGTGTAACAATCCAGTGCAAGAGTTGCCAAATTCAGAAGAGGGACTTCTTAATTTGACTCTATTCCTGAAAATAACTGCTGTGCCCACTTTACTTTATCAAATATTTGCCGCTGTTTTTGAAAAAAAGATCATGCACCCCCATTACCCCTGGGCAATGTATACCACTTAAAATATCACTGTACAGGGGAATTAAAGACATAATAAAAGATTGTGTTAAAATGCTTGTACTTTACTTTTAAAGTACATTGTATTTATAGTACTTTACTTCAAGTACATTGCACCCAGTGTACTTACTACTTTACTTAAAGTACCTTTCAGATGTACTTTACCCAACACCGCCAATGATACACGGAGCTCGACAGAACACATCCTATTATCACGACCAAAGATACACGGACAGAACACATCCCATTACATATCTTATAGCCACCGACAGAATGAGAACGGCAGGGCGTCCTTCGAATGCCCGGCCTCCAGCACGCGCTCGTTGCCTTCCGTCGTGCATCGAATGCGCGTGCGCGCTCGAGGCTCACGTGACGCCCAAGCGCTATCCAGGGTAGGAAGCTCGCACTAGAAGCTGAACTGAAATACCTTCCTGCCGTAATCATTCTGGCTCTGTTCCAAATCTTACTCGAATAGATCGAGTTACTCTGGCTAACGTCCCCAGATAACGCTATGCGAGATAGCGACGGGTCCTCCTACCCCGCCCACGTCCCCAAGCTACAGTCGTCAGCTAGCGCGCGGTCCGCCATGTTCTTCCTAACTTGCCCACCATGGCTGTGTTCGAAATCTTCCAGGTTACTCGGGCGGGTCATGTCACATGAGAATCCACATAGAACGTTGGACGCGGGTAGGTTTTCGAAAGCAAAGCTCTAGAACCTTTTTCCGAGAGCAGGGGTCGGCAACCCACGGACCGCGAGGCAGTTTCATGCGGGGAAATAAGTATTTCAGCAGCTCCAATAGCTAAAGAAATTTCCCACCTACCTAGGACGGACTACCGAAATATTTCTCGAGTACTTAATTTGCTTAAAGGCCGACGTACAACCTCGGTTTTCTGCAGGGAAGATAATCCTCTTAGCGCTCCCCTCTCCTAAGCTGCGAGGAGAGCCAAGTTGCGGCGAGGGTAGAAGTGGAGAGGATATGGGGAAAGGGGCAGGGGGGCAAAAGTGGAAAGCACGAAGTGTACGTCGGCCTTTAAAAAAAAACAAGCCGAGAATACCGTTTATTTTTTTTATAATACCGCCTAAGCTTGCTACAAGAGACCTGGTAAAAGCATACATTTGGGTATAGCATACCGATTTGTGAAGTTTGGTTGGTTTTCCGCTACGTACCATTGACTCAACTTCATATCTGCATTCAACATACTCCTTTTACAACAGACCGAAATCTTGGTCAAAATCAAGGTCTGTTATAACGAGCTTAGACTTTATCTGCATTATTATAGGAGACACGTTTAGACCCTAAAAGTTCACAAAAAATTGGTTTCTGCAAAAATCGGACAGTGAGCAGTGAACTTTTGACTCCATGTGTTTTTCGCAATTCAGCAGGTTTTTATCAGGTTGTGGACCTGCACTTTTACTATACATCTACGAGATGAAAATGCCTATAGTAGTTGATGACAGGTTAAGAGTAGAATGGAAGCTCCTCCTAGGCTCTTTCCACTTTAGCGAGCTAAGGCTGAAAAGGAGGCGATCTCCTCTCCAGCATTTGCTCTGCTAAGGTAGAAAGAGGGGGGAGGAGCCCCCATTTTGCTCTTAACCTGTCACCGACTAAAGGGTACATAGAGTACATGAAAGATACATGGCTTGGACGTGAAGTCATCCAAAGAGCGCTCCGATGGCCGCCAGAGGAGGAGGACGAGCTCCCTTCTTACCAAGACCCTCTTTTGTGTCCCCTAGATTAGCGTAAACGTCGCCACTCTCCTCCCAAAGATCAGAGAAAATGAACCTGTCACTCAAAATTCCTACAAGGGCAGCTTTTTTCTCTATCTCTTTCAGGGTGACCAAAAGTAGCCGAGGTAACGTCAGTGCAAGCCATGTATACAGTTGCTCTGCCTTTAAATGCTTTGGAGAGTTGTTGCTCAACATGATGGCTACCTATGCCACTGCACGCCACGCTCTTGTGCTTCGTTGCGCGTCGCCGCATCACTCTTGCCGATAACTCTCCCCTGACAGCCAATCCAGGCCGGTAGACGCTATGACTGTGCTGTTCCAAAAAAGAATCCTGGCAACTGTACCCTGTTGTATAAAAACTGAAGGCTGAACTCTTGCAAGGCACGCATTGCCTCTTTCAGCCACCAGCGTCGCAAAAATGACACGTGCAAATAACCAAGGAAACGCTTTATATCCAAAATATTGTTGCCCGCTATCACACACCTCTAAAAATGGTCCAATCAAACTATCTATACTCCATTCCACTAGTTGTGTGCAGTGCAGGCGAAGACAACGCCAGGCGAAAAGAGAAAGGGCGAGCACTAGGAAGGCAGGATGGGAGAGGAGTGCAGTGCAGGGCGAGGGGAGGAAGGGAAAGCACTAGGAATGTTAGAGAGGAGAGATGGATTCTCTCCTCCTCCCCAGCTTTCTTGGTGCTTGCCCTTTCTCTCCTTGCCCGGCGTTGCCTTCTCCTCTACTCTACGCAACTAGTGACACGAAGTATAATAGTATATGTGGAAGACATGGAATTCTGAAAACATACCTTAATTAGTGCTAAATGCTAACAATGCTTTCTAAAGAAAGCAGGATCCTATAGACATCTGTTGTACAACTTTAGGGCCGGGCGATTGATCGACTGACCTTCCGATTAATCTATAAATGCTTTAATCGCAATTATTTTAACTGGTTAATCGGTTGAACTTAAAACTGGCTAAACCAAAACAAAAAAAATTAATTTTCCTTTTACATTTTTTTTTTGCTGCCATTGCTCATTCCTAAAATGCAACACTATCCTACTCGATAGCAGGAAACTCACAAATAACACCATTAATCGTGGTTAAGGCAGGCCTGGATCCAGCATGAAGGCTGTGTCCAATTACCGAAAAGACGATATATGGCTTTCTTGGCGACCGCTACACACAGCAGCACAGCGTCAAAAGCAGAGAGGGCACTCCTCAAGGACAGCAGGTTGCCGGCAGGCGGATATTCCCCAAAAGGAACAAAGTCCCGCAGCCTCATTTTCACCAGTCTACCTGTGCACCCAGTCAGTGATATACTTGAAGGGGTTCAAGGCTTTTCCCCTCTCTCCTGTGACGTCGACGACTGCCACTCAGAGGTGCTCAAGGCGACAATTGGAAACAGTTCTTTCATGATCCGTCATCAAGGTAGTACCAGCGACGCTGCCAATTACCTCAAAACTGCTGAATTTTACAATGGGCCAGTCGCACGTCGTGGCACGTCGTGCCGCTCAAGACAGCTCGATGGAAAAGCCTGGGCGTGTCTGTTCCACAGCCGACATGACAAATGGCAGACTGAAGTTTTGATGCAGGGCTTCCTTGGGCTCTGAAGTGTGTCGGTCATGAAAAAAAATGTCTCTTCTAGTTCAATGTTCCTTGAGCACCTGTCCAGTGTAGCAAGGGGCAACTCGCCCATGTCCCAAAAGACAAGAAAAATCCTTCTGCAATGTCTAGCCGGCGGAATAATACCGTAATCTGCGAATATCTTTCAACTGTACTCAACTGTGCAAGTTTGTCCCCAACTATAATGCACGTTGCAGCGTTTATCACAAAAAAAAAGCATCAACCGAAGGGTGCCGATTAGTAGGAATCAAATCTGTAATTGATGCCCAGCCCTAGCAACACTACATGTCTCTGAACATAGTGTAAAAACTGAGATGCAAGTGATTCTCGGAAACATGCCAGGCCTTCAGTATACTTTCTTTGACATGTGCACAAAAACGCTAAGTCGAGACTTCCACGCACATAACAGAAAAAAGAGCATCAGTTCAGAATGGGGGTCCAGCCATTGGCACCACGCAGGAGATGACCATGACCAAGCTGAGCAATCCACAATACCATTAATCACATTGATTGATCCACGAGACCTCCATGCATTGCTTTGAGTAAATGCTCTCGCAGCGAGAGCTTCCTCACCAACAAACATGTCCTGAGGTATTCACAGTTATCACAGGCACCAAAGCCAAAAATCCATATCACGCAAATGGCTCTTGCAGACCCGTCTATGCACAAAAACCACCGGGAATCATTCTGAATTCATACCCGACGCAATGAAAGGCTGGAACATCTTGTGAAATGCTGGTGTACACATTATTTTAAATATCCATTTTTCTCAAAACTAGAGCCTGTAACTACTTGATGGAACTAAATCCCATAGTGCACATCAGGGTTCAAAACAGCCTGCTTATCTACTGAAATGTGCCATGCTGATACTAGCCAAAGCAAGGGGAACATAGCAAACACTTGATTGTTCCAACGGTAGAAAATTAAACTTATTTTTAGAGCTTTAGTAATTTAATCTCATTCCAGCTCTACTTGAAACAACTCCTAGTCAGCCACGCTGCACGTACCAAGCACACTGTAACAAATAAAGGTAAAGAAACAAAAAAACAGGAAAATCCCAGCCTACTTGTGCCAAGCAACCATCTAGAAAGTGTTCATCCATTTGGTGCCACTCCTATGTGGTGCACATTCGAGAGTGGAAACTTGGGAGAATCCAGTATCTCCAGATTAGCTGGTACAAATGAATACTATGTACCTAGATTAATGAATGCAATGATGGTACAAAACTTCGACACAACTCTCACAAATAATTTGTAAAAACAAGTTCTTGTGTGCCCAAGGCTTGCCGGAAAGCTGGCTGGGAAATGGATTGGCAACTTGTAATCAAGACCAGCCTTAGAGAGGAATGTTGCCATGCTTCTTCTTTGGATTCTTGAGCTGCTTGCTTTGCAGGAGCTCCAGATCCTTGCAGAGCTTCTTCCGCGTCGTATGCGGCTCAATTATGTCATCCACAAAACCTGGAAGCAAAAGAGGACCAGAGGAAGTCAAATTTCCATCGCACTAGCTGCACGCTCGGTCCTGACTCTATTGCACAGCACTATAGTAAAGTGTTTTATGGGAAGAAAATAAATGTTGGAGGGACAACCATTACGACAATCTCAATGGGGAGATTTGATCCATTTGTAACCGAAAACAAACCTGCCCCGTAACGATGGACGAAGACTCTTTGAGTGTGCTGTTAACACCAGAATGGCTTGGTCTGCAGCAAAGCGTTGGTGTAAACACTTTCTGTGGTTGGCGACCTCGAGAGACATGCATACTTTACAACGTCAGGTTCAGAACGTGTGTTTTGAGTTGAGAGAATCAGAAAGTGCGTTTAGGGCCGGGAGGAACCCCGTGGTTCTGGCTGCCACTGTTTACACCGGTCTAGACTTTCTGGCCCATGCGTTGGGTGGCCAGGCGGAAGGGCAACATCAGACTGCATCTGGCAGAATGAACGATGAAGTAGCTCTGGTGGACGCTGTCCACACCGAGGTCGGCTGTCTGAATTGCGTCGTGAGTTCTAGGGCTCTTTTGCTCACGTATGATCCCGCCTGACCTCTAACCATGAGGTATAGGCAGATCGCGGGGTCTCATGCGGGAACATCAGCGGTTGCCCTTGTGGTAAGTGTAGTGAGGACATCTGGCAATAGATGGCACCACATGTGTCGTGCTGCGGGCTTACCGGAAGCGAAGCTTCTTCCGGTTGCTGATTTACGATTAAAGGCACTTTTTGACGAGCTGTCACACGGGGTGGTTCTGTTCCTTCTGCCTGGCGACCATGTGGTCGCACTCGGACGCCCACGGTCACAACATGGTGTCAGAAGTGGCCGGCCTCCCGGTCTGACGTCCTCCTCGCTGCTGCTATGCTCACAGCTAGCCCTGCCTCTCGTCGTCTCTGCGTCGCACGCTGCTACGCTTTCCGTCTCCTCGTCACCGTCGCTGCGTTCCTCGTCATGTCGCAGGAGAGAACAACGGAAGCTGCCGCCGCCACCGCCCCCGTCGTCTCACTCCCGAGCTTGGTTCCACCGCCCAAGTTCGACTTCGCAAACCCCGACAAGTGGCCGCAATGGTTTCTACAATTCGAAGACTTCAGCTTTGCGTCAGGCCTCTACCAAGCGTCGAACGAAGTTCAGGTGCGGACGTTACTGTACACTATGGGATCCGAAGAGGCGCGGCGTGTTCTTGAGACGTTAGGCCTCACCGCAGAGGAATGGCGGTCCTTCGCTGCGGTAACAGACAAGTTCAAGGCGCACTTCGTACATCCACCGAACGAAGTGTACGAGAGCGTGCTTTTTCACCGGCGGGTCCAGGAACGAGGGGAAACCGTCGACAGTTTTTACACTGCCCTTCGAGCACTCGTCCGCAAGTGCAACTATCCGTCCACAGAGGTCGAGGACAGGCTCGTTAGAGACCGCTTCGTCGTAGGACTTCTCGACTCGAGACTCTCCGACAAGCTCTGCCGCTGTCCGACCCTCACGATGGCCGAGGCCCGGCTACAAGCACGCATCCACGAAGACGCCGTCAAGGCGCGGGCGACCGTTTTTCGGGACGAGACAGCTGCCGTCGCACCGGAGCAGCTCAAGCTGGATGAAGCACGTGTGAAGAAAGGAAGGAAACCGGCCCCCAAGACGTCTCCCAAGCGAGACTCGGCGTCGTCGCCGAGAGAAGGCAGCAAGAACTGCAGATTCTGCGGCCGTCAAGCGCACCCCCGTAACGAGTGCCCGGCTAGACAAGCCAAGTGTCACTACTGTCGACGCCTGGGTCACTTCGAAGATGTCTGCGAGAAGCGGAAACGAAGTTTGAGCACTGTTCATCTACATGCCGTTTCGACCGCGGGCCGAGCGAAGTTTGTCAAGGTCGCCGTCAACGGGTACGACGTCGACTTCAAAGTGGACTCCGGAGCCGAAGTCACGGTGGTGCCAAGCACGTTTCCCGGAGCACCTCGCAGTCTCCAAGAGCCTGAAGGGCAACTCACTGGACCGGGCAATCACCCATTGACAGTTCTCGGTACCTTCCAAGCCACATTGACTTGGAAAGGCAAGTCGGTAGTGGAGCGGGTTTACGTCCTGCCGTCGCAAGACCCGCCTCTTTTGGGGTTTCCTGCCATCCAGAAGCTGGGTGTGGTGAAGTTCGTTGACGCCCTCTCCAGTCTCAACCAGCAGAGCCCTCTTCACAGCGACATCTTCGAAGGGTTGGGTGAGCTGAAGGACGAGTATGTGATTCGACTCCAGCCAGGAGCACAGCCGTTCTCCCTCTGCGTTCCTCGCCGCATTCCGATTCCCCTTCATAACATTGTCCGCGAAGAACTGGATAAGCTAGAAGCTGACGGTGTGATCCGCAAAGTCGACGATCCGACGGACTGGTGTTCTGGTATCGTTGTCGTCCCCAAGTCTTCTGGAGGTTACCGGATCTGTGTCGATCTCACACGCCTTAACCAGGTGGTCCAGCGGGAGCGTCACGTCCTCCCATCGGTGGAGCACATCCTGGGACGTCTGGGTCCTGCACGGATCTTTTCCAAGCTCGACGCTACAGCCAGTTTTCACCAGATCAAGCTATCTGCCGAAAGCCAGCTCCTCACGACCTTCATTACCCCGTTCGGCAGATACTGCTTCTGTCGCCTTCCTTTTGGAATTTGCTCCGCTCCGGAGTATTTCCAACGTCAAATGGGGAGGATCCTGGAGGGTCTCGACGGAGTCGTCCACATGATCGACGACATTTTGGTTTTCGGACGCACCCAAGAGGAACATGACCGGCGTCTTGCAACAGTATTGGGTCGCCTCAGCAGTGCCGGAGTGAAACTGAACAGAGCCAAGTGCGTCTTTTCAGCGTCCACTGTTAGGTTCTTGGGAGTCACAGTCAGTGCAGACGGTATCAGCCCCGATCCAGACAAGGTCCAGGCTCTGGTCAACTTGGAGGCCCCAGCGGACGTCAGTGGTGTCAGGAGACTTCTCGGCATGGCTAATCACATAGGCCGTTTTCTTCCTCACCTGTCCGACGTGACTACGCCGATTCGTGCTCTTCTCCAAAAGAACAGTGCCTGGTGTTGGGGGCCCAGTCAGCAGTCTGCCTTTGATCGTCTTAAGGGCATGTTGAGCTCCAAGGTCTGCATGGCCAAGTACGACCCTTCGTACCATACCACAGTGTCGGCTGATGCAAGTTCGTATGGACTGGGAGCCGTTCTGCTACAGGACCAACCATCGGGAGAGCGTCGTGCCGTTGCCTACGCTTCGCGATCTCTTACACCAACAGAAACCCGGTATAGCCAGACGGAGAAAGAGGCTCTGGCCGTCACATGGGCCGTTGAAAGGTTCGACCAGTTCGTCCGTGGCATCAGGTTTGATGTCGAAACAGATCACCGACCCCTCGTCACTCTGTTGGGATCTGCGGAACTGGACACTATGCCTCCTCGCATTCAGCGCCTGAGGATGCGGCTTATGGCCTACCAATACAACGTTCTCTATGTACCGGGGAAGCTCCTGGCGACAGCAGACACCCTTTCCCGAGCTCCTGTACAGGCTGCCGACACCAAAGTAGACACCGTCGAGCTCTTCGTTGGGTCACTGCTCAAGGACATCGAAAGTCTTGCATCCACTCGCCTCGATCGCCTTCGCCAGCACCAAGCAGAGGATGGAGTCTGTGCCGGCCTACTCCGATTCTGCAAGGATGGGTGGCCCAAGAAGGTGTCCAACGTTCCAGTTCATCTTAGGGCTTTCTGGAAGGAGCGAGGCAACATCACAGCCTTCGAGGGCCTGTTGCTGAAGGACTGTCGCATCGTGGTTCCTCAGACTCTTCAGAAGGAGATGCTAACATTACTCCATGAGGGCCACCAAGGTGTGGGAAGATGCAAGGCAAGGGCTCGCGACTCAGTGTGGTGGCCAACCTTGAACAGCGAGCTGGAGCAACTGGTGGGGACGTGCGAGCGTTGTGCCCAAACAAGAATTCAGCGCTGCGAGCCGCTTCTCGGGACTCCTACACCCGATCGCCCCTGGCAACGTATCGGGGTTGACCTCTTTGAGCTGCAAGGACGCAACTACGTGGTCATGGTTGACTACTATTCCCGTTTCCCCGAGGTGGTCAGTCTTGCGACCACAACATCAAGCTCCGTCATCGCGGCTATGAAGAGTTCCTTTGCCCGCTTTGGGATTCCGGAGACTGTGGTCTCTGATAACGGTCCGCAGTTTTCGTCAACGGAATTCGCCTCTTTCGCAGCCTTGTATGGGTTCGCCCACCGTACGAGCAGTCCGAGGTACCCGCAAGCGAATGGCGAGGCAGAGCGCATGGTTCGAACACTGAAGGAGCTCTTCGTGAAGGCAGAGGATCCGCACATGGCGTTACTGGTGTACCGGGACACACCCGGAGTGACCGGCTACAGCCCTTCGGAGCTGCTCATGGGTCGTCGTCTCCGGACCAGGCTGCCAGGGTTACCTGCATCGCTGATGCCGAAGTGGCCGTCGCCAAAGCTCGTCAAGAGCAGGGACCAGAGCGTGAAGAGCCATCAACGCAAGGACTTCAACAGGCGTCACGCCGCCCAGTCACTGCGCCCTCTGGAAGCAGGGGAAGAGGTGTGGGTACAAGATATACCATGTGCTGCTAGGGTGTTGAGCCCGGCCAAGCGGCCGCGCTCCTACGTGGTCGAGACGCCAAGGGGTGTTGTCCAGCGCAACCGTCGCCACTTGGTGCCGTTTACGCCCAGTACTCCCAGCCAGCCAAGCGACTTAGTTTGTACCCAGCCTGCAACTTCAGACGGGCCAGTTCCTGTAGCCGAAAGACCAACAGGCGATTCAGCGGTGGTGCCCAGTTCTACACGGCAGTCTCCCCCACCGGGTATACGCGTCACACGTTCGGGGCGGCAAGTCAAGCCTCCTCAAAGACTGAACTTGTGAAAGCACGAGGTAAAGCTCCCTCGAGCTGGAAGGGGAGATGTAGTGAGGACATCTGGCAATAGATGGCACCACATGTGTCGTGCTGCGGGCTTACCGGAAGCGAAGCTTCTTCCGGTTGCTGATTTACGATTAAAGGCACTTTTTGACGAGCTGTCACACGGGGTGGTTCTGTTCCTTCTGCCTGGCGACCATGTGGTCGCACTCGGACGCCCACGGTCACAACAGTAAGAAAATCAGCCGACCGGTTATGGCCTCTCAGCCAACGGGAAACGCCGGTCTGATGACGCGTCGAGGATTTGGCACTCCACTTTAAGCGGAAACACCGTGAGTGAAGTTATATTTATTATACGAACCCTACAGCTCCGCCCCATTCCAGGTGGACAGGAGTCCCTCGAGGCCGCAACAAAACGTCAGAGTGCTTCGGTCACAGTGTCTGGAACGTGTCTCTGACTGGTACGTTTACTGTGCCCTCAAACACGGTTCTTCGATTTCCACCCGGTGACACCGTAAGAGTTTCAGGCCGTTGCCTGTCGCGATCCTGACAATGGCACAACAGTCAAGGTGGACACGGCAAACGACCGTCCATAGTGGCTAGCTCTGAGCTCAATGGTTCGCAGGGACTGCAACAGCAACGAGCCGGGAAGCCACGACGACGGTGACGCTCTTGTTCGATCTCACTTCTGGTGCAACTACTACTACACACCACGCCGGCATCATAACATCCGACGGCGCGATACGCCGGCATCGTCAATGCACAGGCGGTAAGGATGCTTAAAAGCGCGAATTGAAGAGGTGTTTCTGGCGCCGCACTTCTGCCGCGGCACCCACCTCTGATGGCCGCCGGAAACGGGTTGCCGAACTTCCTGATGTACTGGTCCTCGTACTTGGCCACGTCCTTCTGGCCCCGGAACAGGATGGAGACAGCCCCCTTGGCTCCCATGACCGCCACCTCGGCCGTGGGCCATGCGTAGTTGATGTCGCCCCGCAGGTGCTTGGAGCTCATCACGTCGTACGCACCGCCGTACGCCTGCGCCACACCCGTGCGGCATCAAGCAGAGTGATGGTAGTTTCGAAACTAGGGATAGCACCTCCAGGCGGCTCAGACATTTGCATTTGAGTGTGACCGACTGGGTTACGACTTCTTGCGTTCCACTACGATGTGCTGCGGGGACTTCGGGAGTTTTCGATTTCCGTGCCCACTGTCGGGTAGTGAGCAGCCACGGTCATAACGCGGCAGTCGCACTCAAATGCAAACGTGTAAACCAACCTTCGGAAGCCTGTTCCGCAACCTACAACTATCCTCCACTGGCTACGACTGTGACACCACCGTACCATGGTGCCGGAGAATGTCGTCGACGGTTTTTCTGGAAAAGAATGTTGCGATCCACGGTGATCTCGGCGCAAGAAACCTGCCACCAAGGCAAGTCTTTTGCCCATGTGTCCCATGTTGGCAGATTATCGTGGTATGTGCCGCGAGAAACTGGGATTCTGGTTGCACAGTATGCCGGGCGCTGTGCTTGGGTAGCTGGCCTAAGCAAACTTCCTGCTTTTTGCTGGGTTTGGCCCGTAACTCCCCAGAAGTTTGTGTCAGCCCAAAATGAAATGCAGGGAAGGCACTTCGCTGATAATTGTCATTTTCAAATGCATTTTCAGTCTTATCATAGCTGCACATTTCAGGAGTGACCCTAGCATAAGATTCATAAGAGAACTGGTATCAGGGACATGTGAACACCAAATAGGAGAACCTAGCATAGTTATAAAAAAAAGGTAAGATCATATAAAGAAATTTGAACCATTCTTCACTGCGTGGTTCATGAAGTTCATGAAGTGAAATCACCCGCCATCACATACACATATACATTGACAAGCAGGCCTTGCCGGCTCCTCTCCATTGCAGTCTTCTGAAGATTCAATTTCTCATGGAAATTCATTAACAATATTTTATTTCCCTCATTGCAAGAAAGTATAGCTACAAATCTATGGTAACATTTTAATGCATTTTTCTTTTTATGTAACTTTGGGGAATCTTCACAGTTTGTGCACAAAAATCAGTCTTAATATTGTCGTCTCACAACGAAACATGGCAGGAATAAACTTTAGATTATGTAAAATGCAACTGTCTAGGTTTGGTTAGAATGCAATATATTTTACATTTAAAAAAAAATAATAAAAAAAAAAATTCATTAATTCTTGAGATGTCATTTTTACTATTTTAAATGTTTTGAAATGAAAGAAGCATCGCACCGCACACATTATGTCTGCTATTCACCGCACTCAGCAATGCAAAAGAAGCGAATCAGTTTATTTTACTGGGCTTTCTTGAGCGTGTTGCCGTGCCTTACGTGTGCACGAGAACATGGCTTTTCTTTTCTGCATGCACATTCCATTGTGAACCTAAAAAAACAATCCATATCAAATATAACACATGATTTATAAAGAGAAGATTAACCACCATAAACTGTAAAAAATTCATTTCAATATCGTAAATAATAAAAAAAGTTTTGATTACCGAAACCAAAACATGTTTATGCTAGGAACGTCGCAAACTTTTCTTCAACGTTGAACGCGGATGTTCGACAGGTTCGCCAAACCCTCTAACGTTTGGCAAATGTTTACTCCAATTGACACAAAATTTACATAAAAAGACTTTCAGCACTTTCCACTCTGGTGAAGAAGGAAGACCAGCGAAGCTGTACGCTCGTCTCGTGTGTTTCTTCTTCGTCCTTGTCTGTTTTTGCGCGCTGTTTCCTAGGATGAATTTTAACCAACTCGCCCAACTATACATTCTTCTATGATAGCTGGAAAGGTTGCCGCCATCTACGAGCGATGGCGGCAACCAGACCGGTTGTCTGTTTGTTGCTGTCGCCAATAGATGGCGGTAGCTGTCCAGATTTTTTTTTTAGTTTTGTGTCGACATTGGTTTGGTACCGGACACAATAAATGGAAAACTAGCTTTTAGCAGCTCCGCTGTAAAGATGTTTTCCTCTGGCACATGTCCCCTTATTGAGCGTTGTGCAGAGTAATACACGACTGCATGCTACTACCGCGCTCATCCAAATCGAAGTGGGCAGGGGTGTGGACCGATCCCAGGATCCCCAGGTCCTGCAGCGCAAGATTTCGCTCCACGTGCTCAGAGCTGTTGTGCACTACACATGCAGCCGCCGATTCCCCCTGGCATTGCCATGCGAGTCGCTTACTTTGGCAAGATCAGGAGGCGCTCGAGGAGATCAACTGGATGATGCAGGCTTTCTCGTGCCACAACAAGAAAGACCAGAGTGTATCTCCCCATTCTCCTGTTCACATACTCATCGCTAGATGGTGCTGCATCAGTTGGGCTTTGCCAACTGAGCGCTTGAGGTTCGATGGTCGGGGCTTGCAAGAGCAAACTCATCAGCACAGCACGTGAAGGCGCAGTCACGCACTTCATGACCTTTACCATCACGCTGTGCCACGTCACGGCGTGTGTCAGAAATAAGAACGAATTGGGGGTCGGCGGTGCCGTTCAGGCGCAACTTCTCTTCTTCCCGGGAAGGCCTATTGCACATTCTGTGCTTATCAGTCTTTGTCAGCATCAAGCTCGTATAATTTTCTCTCTATCATCGTTCCTCACAAACTCAAGCTAGCGAGTTCAAATCCTGCCGCGGGACTGTTTTTTTTTTATTCGGTTCCCTATGGGCGTAATGCTTTTCGGTGTCAGTTTTTCATCACCGCTCACCGTTACAGCCAAGCATTACAGAGCACCATGAAAAACAGCTGATAAAACATATTCCACATTCAAAGGCTATAGTGGCTAATAATTGGATCAGAGATGACTTTGTAGCGTGAAATGATCTCAGGACATGTGTGAAGCCTACCTTGCGTGTGATGACGGTGATCTTGGGCACTGTGGCCTCGGCGTAAGCGTACAGGAGCTTGGCCCCATGCCTGATGATTCCCTGATATTCTTGAGAGGTCCCTGGAATCAAATCAGTCACAAACTTGCACCCCTTATCAAATCACAAACAACTTTATACCGGATGCCCACCCCCGAATCCTTCCCAACAGCTACCGGGGAAGGTTTGCAGAACCGAGAATAGCTGTCAAGATAGGGACATAACGCCTAGAGACACAAACGAAAAAAATTTGGCAGGGCACGTCGTTCAAACGTCCGGCCTCCAGCAAATGTTTCGTGCCTTACACCATGCTTCGGCTGTGCGAGTGTGCTCGAGGTGCACGAGATGCTGAAGCATTGACGAAAGCAGGAAGCTCGCAACAGGAGGCAGGACAACAGGAGCTCCTCCCTGCCGTTGTCATCTTGTGAGTGGCTGTAGTTGGTGAGCTTACAAGAAATTAAAAATGCCAAGAACAAGAACATCTCCGAGCTACAAAACAGGTGAAGGTGATGTTTTGCAGAAAAATGCATGGTTGGCGGCTTGTATGATGTGCACCTGTCAGTAGCATAGCCGGGACAGCACGTGCAGACATGCATTATTAGAAATCTCCATCAGGTGATCTGGCTACACACTGCAACACATGCCTGTGCAACCCTAAATTAAAAAAATTGACCGCATCTCCGCGTGGTGAATGATGTTGATTGGGGCGAAGCTCTGCTGGTGCTTGTCTGCGTAGACGCTGAGCCGCAGCATGCCGAGCCTTTCGTTCGTTTTCATCCATGTCAGAAAGAGAATGTGTGGTAAGGAGTGTGGTTATATACGCATTCGAGCATTTGACCGCAGCACCCTCTCGTCTATAAACATTGAGCCAATGCATGCAAAGTTTAATGCGATTATATACGCATTTGACCACAGCACCCTCTCCTGTATAGACGTTGAGCGGCTACATGCAACGTTTCATCCATGACATCCCCAACTCTTGAATTACTGCCACAACTTAGAGCCCCCTACTCGTCCCGCAGTCATGGCCAAGTGGTTAGGGCGATGGACTAAAAACCCATTGGGGTCTCCCCGCACAGGTTCACATCCTGTCGACTGCGCAAACATTCTTTTTTTTCATCATTTTCTTTTTTTTTTTTTTTTTTTTTTTTTTTGCCCTACACGAGCATGTGAGCTCACGAGCACGAGCACCTGCAAGATCGATGTGAGCACGGACGCCGGACGGGCAAGGCTAGACCCTAAGGAGCTTCATTGCTAAAAAGGCTTGAGGTACATACACCTAAGCCCTTCTTATGAGATGTGGGTGCGAAAGCATGCACATCATTCTTGTTCTCCGCGTGTTGGTGTGCTGACTGGCGCTGACCTGGCGCTGACGGACACGGAGCGCCATAGAATGGCCGATCATTGAAACTGACGCGCAGCGTCAGTTGCAACAATCGGCCACCCCGTGGCGCTGCGTGTTCGGCGAATGGGAGCCTGGTCGACGCACGCCAGCCAATGGGCCCAAAGTGTAAAAGGTGCCGTTGGCTAACTTCGAGCGTGGTTTCATAGCTGGCTTGACTTGGAGAAAGATTTAAGAGCCGTTTGGTATGGTTTCAAAGCTGATAACATTGGCTCGCTCCATTAAACAGTTAATGCCTTTGCATTAAAAAAAATTCCTTGAAAAATTTAAGAGCAAAACAGCCAGAGAAACCTTTCAGGATTTCAGTACTAATATTAAAACTTGGACTCCTAGCAGATACACAACTGCCCTGCCCTTGCATGTCTGTAAAAAGGAGTCTAGATTTCTTGGAAAGTCATTCTGAAATGTGTGTTCCAATAAAAAATTAGAGGAAGATCCATTAATGGATTCTTAAAGGGATTGATTAAAGGGACTAATTGACTCATTGATAAGTACAACACTAAGGAGGCATTTAGCTGTTGGTAGGTCACTGAAAATAAGAATAAATAAATAAATAAATAAATACTACAACGAAATTTCAGCACTTAATTTTAGGGTCTACATATGTTCAAAAGAGCAGTATAACATCGACACACCAATATCTTGTTAAAAAAGTGAAACCTGTTTACAACTCCCTGTAACGCCGAAATGGAGCGCAGCTCTTGAGGAGGAGGGAAGGGTACTGAGGGGAGGGTAGACCCCTCCTCTTCCTCCTCCTCTCATTCTTTAAAGGAGCTGTGCAACGATTTTAACGTTGAAAGAATTGGAATTTTCTGCTTTTGATATCGTTCACTGTGTCACAAATGGCAGAAAACACACCTCCTTTCATCGAAATGTTGCAATTCCGCCGCGTAATAGCGAGGCAAAACTTAGAATATTTCCCGACCTGCAGCCACAAGCGGCAGCCATGAGAAACAAGCGGCGTGACGTCACTTGGGTAATTGCAAAAAAGATAGCAAAAAAGATAGCAAGTTGTGCAAATACCTGCTCGATAAAAGGTAACTTTTCTATAAATCTTGTCGTTCCAACCTATATATAAATGCGTCAAAACCCTGGTATCATCGACAAAACTTTTATTATACGAAGTTTTAGTGGCGCCATCTATCCTAGGTCCACAAAACCGCGAATAGCCGCCAGAAGCCGGAGGGGGAGGGGGACAGCGCCGGACGGGTATGGCCGGACCCGGATGAGACTTTCCTCCTTTCACCGTAAATTTCGCGGGGCGCCCGCCAGCACGTGGTCACGCGGTCGCGAGCGGATCAGTTCTCGCTGCTCGCTGATGGCTCTAAAGAGAGAACTTTTCCGGAACCCCGCGCCTACTCAAGTGACGTCACTGCGCACGTGACCCGGAAGACGATGTACGAGTTGAGAGGCGGCAAAAACCTGGATCTTCTTCATTTTTTTAAATAAAAACTAGGGTATCCAGGTAAAATCTGTTTTCTGTAGTTCACTACAGAAGTGTCGGGCATCAACTTCCACAATTATTTAAGCAAAGCCCTGAAATTGTTGCACAGCTCCTTTAATATGCTCCGGGGGGTCACCTGACCTCGGGGGGAGGGGGTCACGTGACCTCGAGGGGGGGGGTGTCGCGTGACTTCGGGAGGGAGGGGGGTCACGTGACCTCGGGGAGAGGGTCACGTGACCTAGAAGAGGGGGGCCACGTGACCTTGGGGGGTCAAGGACCTGGGGGGGGGGGGGGTCACGTGACCCCCAAGGTCACGTGACCTTGAGGTGACCTTGGGAGCGGTCACGTGACCTCTGGGGTCACGCGACCTTGGGGGTCACGGGACTTTGGGGGTCACGTGACTTTGGGAGGGGTCACGTGACTTCGGGAGGGGTCACGTGACTTCGGGAGGGGTCACGTGACTTCGGGAGGGGTCACGTGACCTTGGGAGGGGTCATGTGACCTTGGGCTGGGGGTCACGTGAACTTGGGAGGGGTCACGTGACCTGGGGGTCACATGACCTTGGGGGGGGGGGGGTCACGTGACCTTGGTTACGCCGACAGCGACGCCGCTCAAGCCGGAAACGAGCACCTAAGAGCTGCACTCTAAAAGTCACGAAAAGGAATTTTAAAACTAATTAAACGATTAGCAAAGAGCACCTGGTGGATGTCGCTAACCCCTTGTTTGTAACACCCGGCTAGGAACTTTGAGAGGTAGCGACGGTAACTGTCTCGCCTCCGGACACAACGAGCGAATAGGGGAAAGAGAAACCCCCCTCTTCCCGAGAATCCCTTTTGTGTGACCCAGAAGTCACTATTGTCCCTCTACAAGATTATAGAAGATTAACCCGTCACTCAAAATTCGTACAAAAGCAGCCACTTCTGTGGCTGGAACGACTAGGCCATCTTCTCGACGTCAGCCTCGCCGTGGCTTTGCTCGTCTTGAGACGACCCACGTCACGATTGCGTTGGATGTCAAGTGGTCGCTGCTGGCTGTTCTCAGAGCGCTTGCCAGAGTGGGCCATTTATAACGAAAAACACAGCCACCAGGCTCGAAATACAAACGTGCAATTGTCATTTACGGGTATCGTAGATCATATTCAACCTATTTTTGAGCACGACGGGTGTATTTCAAATTTCGTTGAAGTATCCCTTTAAGGAATGCGTTAGATGACCCTTGGAAACGTCACACACATCCACCTTTGGGAAATGCTAACGCTGACCACTTCATTTTTACAGCGGAGCTGTTAAGGGCTAGGTTCTCTAGGATCGTGTCTGGTATGTCGACACAAACCTACCTGGACAACTACCGCCATCTATAAGTGATGGCGGCAAGCACACAACCAGTCTGGTTGCGCCGTCGCTTGTAGATGGCACCAACCTTTCCAGCTAGAAGAATGGATAGTTGGGCGCGTTGGTGGAAATTCATCGTAGGAAACGGCGCGAAAAACAGATGACGGCAAAGAAGAAGCACACGTAACGAGCGCAGCACTCGTCGCGAGTGTTAGTTCGTCCTCGTCTGTTTTGCGCGCTGTTTCCTACGCTCCTACCAGTTTCGGTTTGGACTTAGGATGGGTTGGCCACGCGCCCTTTCGGGGAAAGAAGACTGGCTGCGGAAGGAGCGGCAATCTATGCAGCAGCGCAAATGGGTCTGCAACCGCCGCAAAGCCGCTGTCGCCTCGACTTCCACCGCGTCGAGCGCTTCAGGTTCCCTTGCCAAAGAAGAGCGCATCGCTCGCCTGGAAAGCCTCCGCCGAGAACAGGACCAGCGATGTAAAGGGCGCCGGCGGGCCAATGCCACGGACGCCGATCGTGCCACGGAGGCCAAGTGCAAGCGCGAGGCCTGGCGACGAGTGCACTCCACGCCGGCTGAACAGTTCCCGGGCACGACGGCGAGGTTCCGGAGGGAGTTTGTGGATTACCTGTTTGGCGTCACGTGCGCCGTGTGCGACCGAATCAGGTTCACCGGAGACGTATCCACGATCGGCGGCGTGTCGGACGAGAAGCAGCGGGGAGCGTGCGCGTTGCAGCAGTGTATCGAGTAAAGCTCCGCTGGTCTTCCTTCTTCACGAGAGAGTAAAGTCTGAACGTTTTTTCTTTTGGCTTTCTCTTTTGCTTCCTCTATTTTTTGCTGCCTCTTTCTGGCCTCGTTACCGGGTCAGTGTTAGCCTTCCCCAAGGGTGATTCCCTAAGAATCCA